TACCCTGTGGAGGCTGTGACAAGATTTACGTAGGTGAAACAGCCAGAAACCTCGACACCCGCCTCAATGAACACATTTACGCATGTAGGAACGATAACTTGAACAACGCCTGTGTACAACACCGAAATTCCACCAATCATCTCATGAAATTCAGAGACGCCCAATTAGTGATCAAAGAAACTAATTTGCGCAGACGCAAGTGCCTCGAATCAGCACTGATCGCTGTTTCGAATACAGTTAAACAAAACAACGGCAGCTTCACCATCTCCGAAGTCTTAGCAAGAATCCTCCTGAAAACATAGTCTCTCCTGTTATACTACACAAAGCACAGAGAGTGAACACTGAAACAAGCTGCCTCATTCCAGTCTATATTTGTCCAACCTATTTTTATGTTACCCAAGTAATAGCTTTTATATCCTTTTACTCATGTACGAATTAATTGCTCATACCATATTGTATTACTTTTGTCACTACCACTACTACTACTACCACCACCACTAGTGAACATCGAAATGGTACCTCACTAGTATTGCACCTCACTCTGAGCCTTTATATACCCTCTGTGTCCATGTATTGTTTGTAATGGCTTGATAAAGCTCCTGGAGAGCGAAACGTTGCCACAATAAATGTCACATTAGTTGCACTTGTGTTCTTTTACTTTACATATTGTCGGTAATTCTACCAACTTTATTACAATATATACATTGTAGGCGTGTGGGTAGACTTGTCTGATATATATATATATATATATATATATATTATATATATATATATATATATATATATATTATATATATATATATATATATATATATATATAAATATATATATATATATATATATATCTTGCACCACTGTGAACGTATACACTGCCCAGTAAATACCTCCCAGAGTATATACACTGAGAGATACTCACCATTCAGTGTATATACACTGAGAGATACTCACCATTCAGTGTATATACACTGAGAGATACTCACCATTCAGTGTATATACACTGAGAGATACTCACCATTCAGTGTATATACACTGAGAGATACTCACCATTCAGTGTATATACACTGAGAGATACTCACCATTCAGTGTATATACACTGAGAGATACTCACCATTCAGTGTATATACACTGACAGATACCATTTTGATCTAGGTAAAGTTGTGAATGGTGCAGTACAGTGTAACAATGGCGTGTATTGGGCAAGTGTGTGAGTCACGGTCGTCTGCATGACTTACCCATGAGTCAGTCTGATAAGTCTATGTATTTAATCATATCTGGTTCTCACTTAATTGTCGCTGAAAGGGTCGAATCTCAGCTCCAGGCCCGCCTCTCTGCTGGCAGATACTGGTTACACTTTCTCCTGGCTGCATGAGCCCTATCATACGTATTCTTCAAGCTATGTATGGATTTTGCCTCTATCACTTCGCTGTCTAGGTCATTCCACTTCCTGACCACTCTAAGGCTAAAGAAGTATTTCCTAATATTCCTATGGCCCCTTCTTCCCCCCACTAACTGCACCACCTCCCCTCCTGCACCTCACTAAGTACACCACCTCCCCTCCTGCACCTCACTAAGTACACCACCTCCCCTCCTGCACCTCACTAAGTACACCACCTCCTCCTGCACCTCACTAAGTACACCACCTCCCATCCTGCACCTCACTAAGTACACCACCTCCCCTCCTGCACCTCACTAAGTACACCACCTCCCCTCCTGCACCTCACTAAGTACACCACCTCCCCTCCTGCACCTCACTAAGTACACCACCTCCCTCCTGCACCTCACTAAGTACACCACCTCCCCTCCTGCACCTCACTAAGTACACCACCTCCCCTCCTGCACCTCACTAAGTACACCACCTCCCCTCCTGCACCTCACTAACTACACCACCTCCCCTCCTGCACCTCACTAACTACACCACCTCGCCTCCTGCACCTCACTAACTACACCACCTCCCCTCCTGCACCTCACTAAGTACACCACCTCCCCTCCTGCACCTCACTAACTACACCACCTCCCCTCCTGCACCTCACTAACTACACCACCTCCCCTCCTGCACCTCACTAACTACACCACCTCGCCTCCTCCACCTCACTAACTACACACCTCGCCTCCTGCACCTCACTACACCATCTCGCCTCCTGCACCTCACTAACTACACCACCTCGCCTCCTGCACCTCACTAACTACACCACCTCGCCTCCTGCACCTCACTAACTACAATACCTCGCCTCCTGCACCTCACTACACCACCTCGCCTCCTCCACCTCACTAACTACACACCTCCCCTCCTGCACCTCACTAACTACACCATCTCGCCTCCTGCACCTCACTAACTACACCACCTCGCCTCCTGCACCTCACTAACTACACACCTCGCCTCCTGCACCTCACTAACTACACCACCTCGCCTCCTCCACCTCACTAACTACACCACCTCGCCTCCTCCACCTCACTAACTACACCACCTCGCCTCCTCCACCTCACTAACTACACCACCTCGCCTCCTACACCTCACTAACTACACCACCTCGCCTCCTGCACCTCACTAACTACACCACCTCGCCTCCTCCACCTCACTAACTACACCACCTCGCCTCCTCCACCTCACTAACTACACCACCTCGCCTCCTCCACCTCACTAACTACACCACCTCGCCTCCTCCGCCTCACTAACTACACCACCTCGCCTCCTACACCTCACTAACTACACCACCTCGCCTCCTACACCTCACTAACTACACCACCCTCGCCTCCTCCGCCTCACTAACTACACACCTCGCCTCCTACACCTCACTAACTACACCACCTCGCCTCCTACAGCTCACTAACTACACCACCTCGCCTCCTCCGCCTCACTAACTACACCACCTCGCCTCCTACACCTCACTAACTACACCACCTCGCCTCCTCCGCCTCACTAACTACACCACTCGCCTCCTACACCTCACTAACTACACCACCTCGCCTCCTACACCTCACTAACTACACCACCTCGCCTCCTACACCTCACTAACTACACCACCTCGCCTCCTACACCTCACTAACTACACCACCTCGCCTCCTCCGCCTCACTAACTACACCACCTCGCCTCCTCCGCCTCACTAACTACACCACCTCGCCTCCTACACCTCACTAACTACACCACCTCGCCTCCTCCGCCTCACTAACTACACCACCTCGCCTCCACACTACCTGGCTAAGTGACATATATGTAATTACCTCTTATAAGCAGCAATTAATTGATCTTCCATTAGAAAAGAATACATGAACAACAGACGAGGACCTTGAGTTATGGTTTTAAAAACTGATGATTAGCCAGCTCGATCCATGTCGGGTTCACATGGGTTTAAATGGAGTGCTGTCAACAATAGTCAAGAATAGATGAGTTGCAAAACAAGTATTTATTAATGCGCATCGACTGTTCGGTGACAGGTAATAAAAGTCACAAAAAAGTCAGGCATTAAAAAAGTAGGTTAAGTTAGTTTTGTTGAGGTTAAAGTCCGGCTTAGAGCAGGATATGTTGAGTTAGTTTTAGTATTATGAACACAGGTAAGACTGGCCTGTGAGACCTGGTCGTAATGGGAATTGGAGCAAACAAAATTTAACAGTAAACTCTAATGTATATTTGCCTTCACCAGATATATACAGGTATTTACAATATGTACAGATAGAATAGTAAGTGTACAAGACGGTGACAGATGGCAAAGGAGAAACCAAATACACAAAAAAAACCCGCACATAGAAGAGAGGAGCTTACGATGTCGTTTCGGTCTGACTTGGACCATTTACAAAGAGTGTGCACCGTGCTCAACCAGCAGTTAGGCAAGTCTGTCAGTGCTTACCACAAGTGACTCACGTTGCTTCAGCTTTTGCGGGCTCGCCTGTGATTGACCAATGACCCAAGGTACTGATTTAACGACGGGTTCCCTATTGATCGTCAAACCCTTAGCACCCGCTTCACTGGCTGGGAGGCAGCCTATATGGGAATGTGACGTAAGCCGAATAAATTGTAACATACTCTTTGTATGCCACATTTAGTTAGGTTAAACTAATTTACATCAGGTTTCAGGTTCTCTGGTTCCCACCCTCCCTACCCTTGTGACTTGTTACTAGTTTCGACTGCACATAGGTCATTAAGGCTGTGCTTCACATATGAACTAAAAGTTTGTTCTTCAATGGAAATAAGTCACTCTGTCTGACTTTTCTGGGTTATCCCAGGTTCTCTACACATATGCTGCTATGTCTGATAATTCTATGTAACTGTATTTGTGTATACCTGAATAAACTTACTTACTTATTCAGCTCTTAGTCCCAGACAGTTCCTGGTGACTTACCCTCCCCTCAATATCTGAGGTTGATACCTAAAATATGAAAAGGAAACAGGTGGAAGAGGAGAGTAAGAGGCGTCATGTAGACCTGGACGGACTACAGGAATGATCACGTGTACATAGTACGTCTATTTAGATACAGGTACAAATAATTACAATTATCATATATAGTGTAAATTAGCTAGGATAACCCTCAAATGTCAAACAAAAAGACTTATTTTCATGTTGAAGGCAGCGAGAATCTTAATGAGTTAATGGCACAGTTGAAGTAGATTTTATATATGAGATCAAATGCTAATATCAGTCTCTTTGTCGTTACTTGCATAGTAAAGAGAACCCCGGGAGCTGGAGTCCCACCTCACAAACTCAAGGTGGAGTCTGCGCACACACACACACCTGCAACCGCAATTAGGTGAGTACACACACACACATGCCAAACAAATTTACAACAATCATCAATAAAGTTGCAAATTGCTCGATGCAGCAGTAATTTGTTATTGTTATGGCTCACTCAACAACTGAACCAACTCATACATTATAGACACGAGTGGACCCAGTGTATGACCTACAGGCAGCACGGTGCTTCATTCACATGATTACAAAGTGTAGAGGCAAGTGCTGCTGGAGTATCTAATGTTTTATATCGGGTATTTAATAAATCAATACACGCGGAGGTGGAAGCTCTCCTTCAAGTGAAGGCAGGACAGATGCAGTCAGGCAACACCGACGCATACCAGCTCCTCCTGCTGGACCAGATCAACTGACCCGGCTCCTCTAGTGAGACCAGACCAGCAGACCCAGCACCTCTAGTGAGACCATACCAGCGGGCCTAGCACCTCTAGTAAGACCAATCACCGGATCCAGAACCTGTAGCCAGACCAATCCAACGGACACAGCACCGCTAGTGAGACCAAACCAACGGGTCCAGCAGCTACAAGCTAATCATCCAAACTGTAGTGTGAGTTGTTCCAGCCACTTGCACTCTTATACTCATGTACACTTGCACTCCAAGACTTGTTTTCTTGAAGTCATACACTCGATGTATATTCCCTTCACATTCACATTACTACTCTTCCCTCAAACACAGATAATACACAATCGTTCTTAATTTAGACGAAAGTAGACTGTCCATATCAGTAGACAGCCTCAATTTGAACTTCAAAGTCCTCTTGCTATCTGTCTTGCCCAAGTACTCTCATAAGTACTGAGGCCACTTCTTGAAGTATTAAGTGAGGTGGGAGATAAGTTTTTTATTGACTAACGGAACATTGTAATAAAGTTCTAAGGGGATCGAAATGTTGCCAGGATAAATGCTTGTTCCGCAACTTTATTGATTTTCTTTCCTTAATTTAAGATGTTTTTTTTTTAAGGTAAACTCCGTTCTAGGAGTGGTGTGGGAAGATGTCACAGCGGTACACGTCACAACAGTAAAGGTCTGAAAGGAAGACGTGACAGTAGTAGAAGCCATAACGGAAGATGTCACAAGGGAAGATGAGGTCGTGGGATGACGTGCCGGAGGAGTCCTGGACACCGGCACCCATCTACACATACATTAGACCCTTCACCGTGTTATCCTGCATCCTGGGGCTCCTTCCTTTGCCCTCCACCTACAGCAGGGGTGGTCCTGGACCCTTCAAGTGAGTCCTTCACTCCTTCACCCTCCTTCCCTTCCATTCAAACCTTATGGTTTGAACCTCAGAGTCGTCTACTGTCTGTCTTTCATATGTACTCATTATGTAGCTCTCCTTCCTCACTCATTATGTAACTCTCCTTCCTCACTCATTATGTAACTCTCCTTCCTCACTCATAATAATAATAATAATAATAATAATAATAATAATATCTTCATTTACTACAAGTACATGTACAAGGTATACAGTCCTAGCTGACAACAATGACATACTACCATATAGAAAGTCCCTTGTTATGCTCCGCATTTCGGGCAAATTAGGTCAGTGTCCCGGGATGCGACCCACACCAGTCCACTAACACCCAAGTACCCATTTTACTGATGGGGAAAGAAACACGTCCCATGTTTCTACTCTGGCTGGGAATCGAACCCAGGCCCTCGCCGTGTGAAGCGAGAGCGTTAACCGCCAGGCCACCATAATGAGTGAGGAAGGAGAGTTGCGTAATGAGTGAGGAAGGAGAGTTATATAATGAGTGAGGAAGGAGAGTTGCATAATGAGTGAGGAAGGAGAGCTGCATAATGAGTGAGGAAGGAGAGTTACATAATGAGTGAGGAAGGAGAGTTACATAATGAGTGAGGAAGGAGATTTATATAATGAGTGAGGAAGGAGAGTTACATAATGAGTGAGGAAGGAGAGTTACATAATGAGTGAGGAAGGAGAGCTGCATAATGAGTGAGGAAGGAGAGTTACATAATGAGTGAGGAAGGAGAGCTGCATAATGAGTGAGGAAGAAGAGTTACATAATGAGTGAGGAAAGAGAGTTGCATAATGAGTGAGGAAGGAGAGTTACATAATGAGTGAGGAAGGAGAGTTACATAATGAGTGAGGAAGGAGATTTATATAATGAGTGAGGAAGGAGAGTTACATAATGAGTGAGGAAGGAGAGTTACATAATGAGTGAGGAAGGAGAGCTGCATAATGAGTGAGGAAGAAGAGTTACATAATGAGTGAGGAAAGAGAGTTACATAATGAGTGAGGAAAGAGAGTTGCATAATGAGTAAGGAAGAAGAGTTACATAATGAGTGAGGAAGGAGAGTTGCATAATGAGTAAGGAAGAAGAGTTATATAATGAGTGAGGAAAGAGAGTTGCATAATGAGTAAGGAAGAAGAGTTATATAATGAGTGAGGAAAGAGAGTTGCATAATGAGTGAGGAAAGAGAGTTACATAATGAGTGAGGAAAGAGAGTTGCATAATGAGTAAGGAAGAAGAGTTATATAATGAGTAAGGAAGGAGAGTTGCATAATGAGTAAGGAAGAAGAGTTATATAATGAGTGAGGAAAGAGAGTTGCATAATGAGTGAGGAAAGAGAGTTACATAATGAGTGAGGAAAGAGAGTTACATAATGAGTAAGGAAGGAGAGTTGCATAATGAGTAAGGAAGAAGAGTTATATAATGAGTAAAGGAGGAGTTGCATAATGAGTAAGGAAGAAGGTTATATAATGAGTGAGGAAAGAGAGTTGCATAATGAGTGAGGAAAGAGAGTTACATAATGAGTGAGGAAGGAGAGTTACATAATGAGTGAGGAAGGAGAGTTACATAATGAGTGAGGAAGGAGAGTTACATAATGAGTGAGGAAGGAGAGTTACATAATGAGTGAGGAAGGAGAGTTACATAATGAGTAAGGAAGGAGAGTTACATAATGAGTGAGGAAGGAGAGTTACATAATGAGTGAGGAAGGAGAGTTACATAATGAGTGAGGAAGGAGAGTTACATAATGATGGGGAAAGGAGAGTTACATAATGAGTAAGAAGGAGAGTTACATAATGAGTGAGGAAGGAGAGTTACATAATATGAGGAAGGAGAGTACATAATGAGTGAGGAAGGAGAGTTACATAATGAGAAAGGGAAGGAGAGTTACACAATGAGTGAGGAAGGAGAGTTACATAATGAGTGAGGAAGGAGAGTTACATAATGATGTAATTATGTAACTCTCCTTCCCCCCTCATTATGCAACTCTCCTTCCCCCTTATTTTGTAACTCTTCTTTTTCTCTGTCTCTCTCCATAATTCCCTGTCTTCTTCTCTCCCTCCTTCCCTCCCTTCTGGAGTGTGATAGACCCAGGGGTCGGAAAATGGGAGTTATATTCACTACATTCTCCTCCACTGGAGTGAGTTAGACTCGTATTCAGGTTCAACTTCATTAATATTCACATTAGATTAACAGTGACAAGAATATTATATGACAGATTTACGTTTAAGCAACCTGTTGCTGCTGGCAATATGCATGTACGACTTAATTGAGTTAACCTGGTGAGACTGAAGAATTATTAATCTCTCTCTCTCTCTCTCTCTCTCTCTCTCTCTCTCTCTCTCTCTCTTCTCTCTCTCTCTCTCTCTCTCTCTCTCTCTCTCTCTCTCTCTCTCCCCTCTCTCGCTCCCTCTCTTTTCGCTCTCTCTCTCTTCTCTCTTCTCTCTCTCTCTCTCTCTCTCTTCTCTCTCTCTCTCTCTCTCTCTCTCGCTTCTCTCTCTCTCTCTCTCTCTCTCTCTCTCTCTCTCTCTATCTATCTATCTATCTATCTATCTATCTCTCCCTTAGGCGGTGTTCATGGGTACACCTGTACACCGTGGTTGTTCACCTGTTCTTCGGTACAAGCCTTTATTTGCGCTAAAACGGTAAGAGAACAAACAATAGATTGTTTTTATTATTATTATTTTATTATTATTATTATTATTATTATTATTATTATTATTATTATTATTATTATTATTATTAAATTCATATAGAACCTGATGAATGATCGGAATTTATAACATTTTGGCAGTAATTTAGAGGAAGGTAGCTCCAAATCCTTGGATGTAGAGCCATTCATCAGAAGAGCATTCGCTTTTGCTTTCAGAAATTATTAATTGTTCGACATCCTCTCCTTACGTTTCCCTTAGACATCTTCCCCTTAAGTTTCCCTTGGACATCCTCCCCTTAAGTATCCCTTGGACATCTTCCCCTTAAGTTTCCCTTGGACATCCTCTCCTTAAGTATCCCTTGGACATCTTCCCCTTAAATTTTCCTTGGACATCCTCCCCTTAGGTTTCCCTTGGACATCCTCCCCTTAAGTTTCCCTTGGACATCCGCCCTTTCGGTTTCCCTTGGACATCCTCCCCTTAAGTTTCCCTTGGACATCCTCCCCTTACGTTTCCTTAGATGCCCTTCTTTTGGTATTCATAGATGGTTAGGCAAGTTATTAGAACCTAAGTAGGGTGGGCTACAGTGCTCTCCAACACTGATAATTTCACTCTCTTTTTTTTTTTTTTTGTGTGTGGTGTGTGTGTGTGTGTGTGTGTGTGTGTGTGTGTGTGTGTGTGTGTGTGTGTGTGTGTGTGTGTGTGTGTGTGTGTGTGTGTGTGTGTGTACGTGCTATCAGGTGTTCACAAGCCCATGAAGGGACAAATAATGATTGACATGCTGCTGAACAAGTTCTTCTTCCTGCTCTCCTTCGTGACCTCCCTCACCGTCATTATCCTGATCCACCCGGGAGCCTCCGCTATGGGTCGACTCTACCTCCAGCTGAGTGTAAGTTGACCTGTTCTGACTCAGTTCTACTTCTACCTGCTTCACTCCTCAGGACACGTTCTAGTTGTCTGATAATGGCACGGGTGGCGAAAAGTTTCACAATCAAGTAAACCACAGAACGGGTAGGGATTGAACCCATAACAAATGAGTCGTAAACCTCCAGGCCAGTGTGTAAGCCATGGGTTCAATCTCCACCCATTCCATTGTTTTTTTCAATCATGTTATTACGATTTTGTGAGTCATGATACCCATGTGTTGTACAAGTATCTCATTTGCCCTCTCATACACTGTATGAATATACTCTCAACTGCAAGCTTACTATGAGGTGTAAAAATGAGACGGACTGACTAGGATCTTGCAGTATCAAAGACTTGTAGAAGCGAAAACTTTGGGCACCTTGAAAAATAGGTTGAATGAGTTTGACCTGCCTAGTATGGGCCAATAAACCTGTAGCAGTGCTTCCCCGCTCTTATGTCCTTATATTCTCTTCTGCGAGAATTCTCTGCATCCTCAGGTACTGACCAGACAAACAGAATTATTAAATCAATTATTAACTGTTCCCTGGGGTGTCCTGACATCTTACAGTTACACAGTGTAAAGATGTCAGAGCAAATTTATGTTAATTATGTAAAGACAACCATGAAAAAAGCAATAAATATAAAAGATAATTAACAGCAGGTTTAGAAAGACATGTGAGAAAGCACTAAGATGCATTTGTTAGAAAACGTGTTGATCCTGAGACATTGATCACTTCTAACACACTGTTACACACATCAAACATTGACGTTTTCTGTTTACAGGGACTGATTATCTCGTCTTCTACTATCTTTTGTATATGTTTTTCACAGTCTTCAGATTATGTCCTTGTATTGTACTGATAAAGCCACTTGGTGGTGAAACGTCTAGAAAGTAAAGATACCCAGATGTTGTCCCGTAACTCAGTCGCTAGCGCACTCACCTCACACACTGAGGTCCAGGGTTCAGATTTCCTCCGGTACTGCTGGAAGACACTAGGGATGTGTTTCCATAAGACACCTGCTGTCCCTGCCCCTGTCCACCCATCAGTGTAAAATGGGTACCTGATACCTGAGTGTTAGTCGACTGGTGTGGGTCGCATCTTGGGACGAAAACTGACCTAATTTGCCCGAAATGTTCAGCATAACAAGCGGATTTCTATATAGTAGTATGTCACTGATGTCAGCTATGGTCTGTATACCTTGTACATGTACTTGTAGTAAATAAAGATATTATTATTATTATTATTATTATTATTATTATTATTATTATTATTATTATATTATTATTATTATTATTATTATTATATTGTACATGTGTCTAATCCTTCATCAGTGGAAAGTATAGTCATATAACACAAGCCTTCACATACCTTCATTTCTCCTGTTTTTACTTCGTCATGGACTGTAGGCACAATGCTCCAGCTGTCCTCAACCCTCTCACTGAACACTCCACCAAGCAGTTCCTAGTGCTCCTTTATGGGGGATGTTATTATATAAATGAACCATACCACAGGTGGGGTTAGAACCCGCAATCAGAGAGTCACAAAACTCCAGACCGACGCGTTAGCCACCCGTTCGCTTGCAATCGTATCATTATGATTTCGTGAGTCACGATTACATAAATGGTTTTGGAAAACTGGAAGGTTGATGTGTGAGAAATCAGGGAACGAGGTTGATACTGGAACCCATGACGAGTGAGCCCTAAAACTCACAGACCAGTGCGCTTACCACAAGTTCCATGATTTATTTCCACTCATATTATCATGATTTCGTGAGTCATGATGACTGAGACAATCAGATTTGATCCAAACCAGATTGGATCAGATCTGGTTGTCTCCTATTCCTCGGAAGCTGTGTGACCTGCTACTGACTTGCCGCTTCCCCGTGAATATATATCACAATCTGAATCTGTATCTTTGCAGAAGGTAGATACTTTGATTCCCTACGAGGCTGGTGAGGCCCCGGGAAAGGAGAATCAGATCGGCTGGTACCTGCGCCATCAGGGGATGTTGCTGCTGGCGATCATGGCGCTGTTGAACATGTCAGGAATTCTGATCATGCTGCAGTCCAAGGTGATGAAAAATCCCGTCAGTGTAGTCTTTTTAATTAATGCTGTCTTCAACGCCAGCATCAAATCCTTGATGCTGAGTTTTCCTCTGCTCCACGCCACGGGGCTCTGCTACTCCCTGTCTGCGCTATACGTGCGTATCAACGCCTGGCTGCGGTGTCTGTCCTTCAAGCACTCGTTAAAAGCCCTTCACAACATTCCTGCTCACCTTCATCGTTGTGACCCCTTCAACGTCCCTACCAATGTTCAACGCTGTGACCACTTCAACGTCCCCACCAATGTTCAACGTTGTGACCCCTTTAACATCCCTACCAACGTTCAACGCTGTGACCCGTTTAGTGTCCCTATCAATGTTCAACGTTATGACCCTTTCAGTGTGCCTACCAATGTTCAACGCTGTAAACCCTTCATCGTCGTCTCCCGCATCAAGGTTTGTAATGTTGTTGTTGTTGTTGTTTGTTGTTGTTGTTGTTGTTGTTGTTGTGTGTGTGTGTGTGTGTGTGTGTGTGTGTGTGTGTGTGTGTGTGTGTGTGTGTGCGTGTACTCACCTAGTAGTGGTTGCAGGGGGTCGACTCACAGCTCCTGGCCCTGCCTCTTCACTGGTCGCTACTAGGTTGGTGTCCCTGCTCCATGAGCTTTATCATACCTTTTCTTAAAGCTATGTATTGATCCTGCCTCCACAAACATCACTCTCCAGACTATTCCTGACAACTCTGTGTAGTGTGTGTGTGTGTGTGTGTATGTGTGTGAGTGTGTGTGTCTACTCCGATATGTTTACAATGGTTGATTCATAGCTCCCGTCCCCCTCCTCTTTAATTATATTTACTGGAATGCGCTAAATCAGCATGGGTGACGCAGCGCCTGGGACATGATGGATACTCAGGTTTCATGCAAGGAATAGGAGTGCAGTTCTAATTCCTTGGAACAGGAGCCCTTTTGAAACATCGTATGAATTAGAGAAAATTCCTCAAACAGGATGTCCTAAAAATCTTTTTGGCCACAGAAAATATTAATTAAATAAATTTTTTACCAAAATTTATATAATATGAACCAAATTGTCACAAAATCTGTAGAAGAAACTAAAAAAAATCAAGTTTGAAAAGTCTTTAATTTTTTTAAGTCTCTATAAGAACAAGAAAAAAATATACGAATTAAAATTTTGAGATTTCCTAAATAAATCTTTCTCCTGACCCTCGTGTGACGTCATCAAAACACACACACACACAACGTCACATAGGCAGAACATAAGCAAGTCGACGAAGATTGGGGAGGAGAGACGAAAAGCAGGGAAGGAGAGACGGGAGGAAGAGAAGGAGAGACCAATAGTCTGGTGGAGGAGCTAGAGACGTGTCGACAGATACAAGGTGTCCTGGGCAGCCTGTGTGAGGCGGTGTCGTCAGTCATGACACCTTCACTCTTAGTGGTTACCCCTACCATCTTCCTCCAGTCCTGCTATATGTTGTACCATGTGAGTCACTGTATGTCTCTACCCTGTGTTGTACCACACTGTGTTGTACCACACTGTGTTGTATCATACTGTGTTGTACCACACTGTGTTGTACCACACTGTGTTGTACCACACTGTGTTGTACCACACTGTGTTGTACCACACTGTGTTGTATCACACTGTGTTGTACCACACTGTGTTGTACCACACTGTGTTGTACCACACTGTGTTGTATCACACTGTGTTGTACCACACTGTGTTGTACCACACTGTGTTGTACCACACTGTGTTGTATCACACTGTGTTGTATCACACTGTGTTGTACCACACTGTGTTGTACCACACTGTGTTGTATCACACTGTGTTGTACCACACTGTGTTGTACCACACTGTGTTGTACCACACTGTGTTGTATCACACTGTGTTGTACCACTGTATGTTGTACCACTGTGTGTAGTACCACCGTGTGTTGTACCATGTGAGTCACTGTATGTCTCTACCCTGTGTTGTACCACACTGTGTTGTACCACACTGTGTTGTATCACACTGTGTTGTATCACACTGTGTTGTATCACACTGTGTTGTACCACACTGTGTTGTACCACACTGTGTTGTACCACACTGTGTTGTATCACACTGTGTTGCATCACACTGTGTTGTACCACACTGTGTTGTATCACACTGTGTTGCATCACACTGTGTTGTACCACACTGTGTTGTATCACACTGTGTTGTACCACACTGTGTTGTACCACACTGTGTTGTACCACACTGTGTTGTATCACACTGTGTTGTACCACACTGTGTTGTATCACACTGTGTTGTACCACACTGTGTTGTATCACACTGTGTTGTATCACACTGTGTTGTACCACACTGTGTTGTATCACACTGTGTTGTACCACACTGTGTTGTACTACACTGTGTTGTATCACACTGTGTTGTACCACACTGTGTTGTATCACACTGTGTTGCATCACACTGTGTTGTACCACACTGTGTTGTACCACACTGTGTTGTATCACACTGTGTTGTATCACACTGTGTTGTATCACACTGTGTTGTACCACACTGTGTTGTACCACACTGTGTTGTACCACACTGTGTTGTATCACACTGTGTTGTATCACACTGTGTTGTATCACACTGTGTTGTACCACACTGTGTTGTATCACACTGTGTTGTATTACACTGTGTTGTATCACACTGTGTTGTACCACACTGTGTTGTATCACACTGTGTTGTATCACACTGTGTTGTACCACACTGTGTTGTACCACACTGTGTTGTACCACACTGTGTTGTATCACACTGTGTTGTATCACACTGTTGTACCACACTGTGTTGTACCACACTGTGTTGCATCACACTGTGTTGTATCACACTGTGTTGTACCACACTGTGTTGTATCACACTGTGTTGTACCACACTGTGTTGTATCACACTGTGTTGTACCACACTGTGTTGTACCACACTGTGTTGTACCACACTGTGTTGTACCACACTGTGTTGTATCACACTGTGTTGTACCACACTGTGTTGTATCACACTGTGTTGCATCACACTGTGTTGCATCACACTGTGTTGTACCACACTGTGTTGTATCACACTGTGTTGTACCACACTGTGTTGTATCACACTGTGTTGTACCACACTGTGTTGTATCACACTGTGTTGTACCACACTGTGTTGCATCACACTGTGTTGTACCACACTGTGTTGTATCACACTGTGTTGTACCACACTGTGTTGTATCACACTGTGTTGTACCACACTGTGTTGTACCACACTGTGTTGTACCACACTGTGTTGTACCACACTGTGTTGTACCACACTGTGTTGTACCACACTGTGTTGTATCACACTGTGTTGCATCACACTGTGTTGCATCACACTGTGTTGTACCACACTGTGTTGTACCACACTGTGTTGCATCACACTGTGTTGTATCACACTGTGTTGTATCACACTGTGTTGTACTACACTGTGTTGTACCACACTGTGTTGTATCACACTGTGTTGTATTACACTGTGTTGTACCACACTGTGTTGTACCACACTGTGTTGTATTACACTGTGTTGTACCACACTGTGTTGTACCACACTGTGTTGTACCACACTGTGTTGTACCACACTGTGTTGTATCACACTGTGTTGTATTACACTGTGTTGTACCACACTGTGTTGTACCACACTGTGTTGTATTACACTGTGTTGTACCACACTGTGTTGTACCACACTGTGTTGTACCACACTGTGTTGTATCACACTGTGTGTTGTATTACACTGTGTTGTACCACACTGTGTTGTACCACACTGTGTTGTACCACACTGTGTTGTACCACACTGTGTTGTACCACACTGTGTTGTATCACACTGTGTTGTACCACACACTGTGTTGTACCACACTGTGTTGTACCACACTGTGTTGTACCACACTGTGTTGTACCACACTGTGTTGTACCACACTGTGTTGTACACACTGTGTTGTATACACTGTGTTGTACCACACTGTGTTGTACACACTGTGTTGTACCACACTGTGTTGTACCATACTGTGTTGTACCACACTGTGTTGTATCACACTGTGTTGTACCACACTGTGTTGTACACACTGTGTTGTATACACTGTGTTGTACCACACTGTGTTGTCATCACACTGTGTTGTATCACACTGTGTTGTACCACACTGTGTTGTACCACACTGTGTTGTATCACACTGTGTTGTATCACACTGTGTTGTACCACACTGTGTTGTACCACACTGTGTTGTATCACACTGTGTTGTATCACACTGTGTTGTATCATACTGTATCATATACAACACCGTGTGTTGTACCACGTGAGTCACTGGACGTCTCTACCGTGTGTTGTACCACCGTGTGTTGTACCACCCTGTGTTGTTCCATCACGTGTTGTACAACACACGTGAGTCACTGGACGTCTCTACCGTGTGTTGTACCACCGTGTGTTGTACCACCCTGTGTTGTTCCATCACGTGTTGTACAACACACGTGAGTCACTGGACGTCTCTACCGTGTGTTGTACCACCGTGTGTTGTACCACCCTGTGTTGTTCCATCACGTGTTGTACAACACACGTGAGTCACTGGACGTCTCTACCGTGTGTTGTACCACCGTGTGTTGTACCACCCTGTGTTGTTCCATCACGTGTTGTACAACACACGTGAGTCACTGGACGTCTCTACCGTGTGTTGTACCACCGTGTGTTGTACCACCCTGTGTTGTTCCATCACGTGTTGTACTACCATGTGCGTCAGTGTATATCTCCACCCAGTGTTGTACCACTGTGGCATGCTAAAAGTTTGTTACATTACATTCTTTGTATGTCACACACCCACACAGGCATGTCCTCTCGACCAGTGAATCAGGTGTTAAGAGTATAACGAGTAGGGCCTCGTTATACTAGCACCTTGGCTCAACTAGCCAGTGACAAGGAAGCCCGCCAGAGTTGTGAAGCGATGTGGTACACTCGTGAATCAACACTGGCAGACTTACCTCCAAGTCTGGTCGAAGATTGTCCTTACCGTGTATTTGCATGCATTACCTTATTATACATATCCTCTGTAAATATTGTACATACTATTGCCTGCTCTTTGGTGAAGTGAATGTAAGTATTTACTCTGCTGCCTTTTCGCTAGTTCCTATGTGGTTATCGTGTTTTGTACCACCATGTTTTGTACCACCATGTGAGTCAGTGGGAATGAAACAGAATTGCAGAATTTTAAAATGAGAACTCTTTAAAACAAGAGAATACTGCCAGGAGGAAAATTGGTTCAGTTCTTAACAATTTCATCGAAATTACAAATTTACACCTAAATAGTCCCCCCCACACACTTCTTTCTCAAGTTAAAATGTTGATACTGTGTGTGTTGCAACAATGATCAATAATGCAATGTGCCTCGATCAGGTTTACCCCGAGGAGGACGAAGTCGACGTGCTACAGGTCGCCAACCTCCTCCTGTTCTCCCTGGGTCTCCTTCTGGCTGTCTATCTCCTCTCTGCTGCTGTCGACTATCTCCGAGTGCAGGTAAATAAGTCTTCACTGATTTCTGGTACCAACATCTTACACTGTAAGGAACCACATATTGATAAGGATCACATACACATACCAATAGGGACCACATAAGCGCACCAGTAAGGACCTAGACACATACACTAACATTATTATTATTATTATTTATAATCAAGGGGAAGCGCTAAACCCGGAGGATTATACAGCGCCTGGGGGGATGTGGAAGGCATTCGGGCTTAATTCGGGGAACTGGAGCACAGATCAAATTCCCTAAATCAAGAGCCCCTCACCAACATCAAGGAACCTTCCTTGAGGGGACATACACTAATAGGACCACATAAACACATCCCATCCACTAGAATATCGTCCCTCTCACTAGACCATAACTCTGCCGTGCATCTAACCTCCCTTTCTGTTCACTCTGGTTCCGAGCAGCACGAGAGGACAAGTGAACTCGTACACAGGTTCCGTACTGACTCTGGTAAGGTATGCACAGCATGGCTGTCCTCCGTACAGCTGTTCTCGCTCCAGTTGCTACATTCCTCACCCCAGTTCAGAGTTGCTGGATTCTTCTCCATCGACAGGAGTTTCTTGTTAGCGGTGAGTCCCGAAGTGACGTCGTCCTGCGATGTACAGGTTCCTCGGTCACAAATTTCTTTCTCCTATGTGCAAGTTATTTGTGTATTATTCCAGTCACGGTGCTGTGCCTTTGTGTTCTTTTTAGTAAGTTTACTTAGGCACAAGTACACATAATTACAGTTATCATACATAATGTAAATTACCCATGAAAATTCAAAAACGTAAAAGTGACTTATTTCCAATGGGGCTTTGATATTATTGCCTCTTTTTCTGTTGCTCCAAGTCCCGTTTCTCTCCCCCCGCTCCGTCTCCTCCATCTCTCCTCAGCAGTAACTATTTTCAACTTATGTTCTTGCAGATGATAGGTAACTTAGCAACCTACCTGGTGATCCTGCTCCAGTTTAGAGACACCAACAGTGCTAACTGCAGTACCGCAACGAAGGATGCCAACCGTACCATCGTCTAGAAAACACCTGCTGGAAGATTGAAGCACCAGTTCTAGTTATTAGCACCATCTACGGCACCACCTGGGGCATCATCTACAGCACCACCCGGGGGCACCATCTGCGGCACCACCTGGAATAACAACAGCACTCTAAGCTCACATTTTCCCAAGTTGCTTGTAGCTGGATGTATCATGCGCTGTTTCAACATTGTGTCTCATCATTGCTTCTCACTCGGTAGTTTCTTCACAGCTGAGACGAGGACACACGGAGCACAACAATTATCTACTGAGACAACGTTTCGCTCTTTAATACAGCTTTATCAAGTCATTCACAAGATACAAAATATACGTAAACGTGCTGACTAGGAGCCATGAGACATTTTGATATAATTAGGAAGTGTAACTGCTGCGTGGTTCCATATAAAGATCGCGGTCAGCAGGATTCGAATCCACGTTCGGCGAGGCTAGTAGTGTACCCACAGTCGAAGCTGAGCCCTCCAGTTTAATGGTAAATGCTCTGATAGATAGTGAGAAGCTCCTTCTATCTCAGCTGCATAATAATGTTGAGACTGGTCTCCTGCGTTCGCTGCTTTACAATACACTTGCCTTTGAAGCCGCGCAACGGGTGGGGTTGCACCCATGGCAAGTGAGTGGTATGACTCCAGGCCAGTCCGTTAACCACTAGCTGGCTCTAATAAGATTCGTCCAACTAGGTACTAGCCTTTCAGCACGAAGAGAGGACACTAGGCTGTAAGCTCAGCACTGACAGCTTCTCGGCACTGTGCTGTGTTAAGGGTGTTGGTTCTCACGGATTGGAACAGTCACAGGCAAATCAGTAGAACCTCGTGATATAAAGTGCATTGGTGATGATTATATGTTGATATGATGTTGATGATAGATGATAATATTGTGGGAGGAAGGGGCCCAAAAAAGCGTCAGTTGTACGAGATGCATTGTGCCCATCAAGTACACTGACCTCATTGGGTAAGTTTTGTCGGGAAATGGGACATTGTTTCCTGACGCGGGTTTTAGCATATGAGACCCACAGCTGGATTTTTTTGGTCATCTAAACCGACCCCTTCACTGGTTTCCCCTCCCCCCTTTTAAAAAAATCGGGGTTTATAATAAATTCCCTGCCCCTCGCTGACACCAGTGAAGGCCCATTACCCACACTTATAAATTTCTCAGAAAAAGATGTTCGGAAGCTGGAGACGATCCTTTGAACCTGTTCCCCAGCTTTTTTCTCAACTTTTGGGTCTGCCAGCCTCCAATTCTCAACTGTCTACATCTTCCCGGCCATTTTACGTCTCGACCTCTACGTCTTCTAAAACCCATCTATTCTTTCACCCTTTACACCCCCATCAATTATTCACCCATCTACACCTCAGCCCCTGCATCTTCCCACCTTCTATTTTCCAGAAATTAAAAACATTTTTTTTCCCCATAAACCCTTACAGCTCCTCTGACCAATAAACTTTAACACCATTATTAATAGCATTTTACACTTCATCTCCACCCGAAAGGTACGAAAAATTACTGTAAATTACATGGGTACTATAAAATTATTTAAACATCAATACTGTAGCACTACAGGTTACGTACCCGTTTTCTTAGTGTTTTTTATCTACTGCCAACGGACTAAGTCCGCAGCCGCTGATTAGGTCCCAGGGGAAAAACCGCTGTTGCAGAAGAAAACCCCACATTCATGAATAAATATTAATTTCACAACTCGGGAGTTGTTTTGACAGTTGGAAATATCGTTCCCTGTGAAAAAATAGTGGAAATTCCAAGGCTTTCGTGATTTCTCACATTATCAAGGATTTGTAAAAATAAAAGATCAAACAGAAAGGGCATAATAAAGACGAGATAACCATCGCAGTCAATTACAACACCTGACTTTCATGATGATGTAGGGGAGGTAGCCCTGAACCTGTCCTAAAACAACAATAATACAGTGCCTGAGATTATAGTAGCTCCATTCTCGGATCAAGCGCCCTTTCGTACCCTCAAGATATTCTCTAGTGGTACGTAACACAACTTCTGCGAAAACCCAAAGTAATAACATCATGCAAATACTTTTCATTCCGGGATTTAAAAATTTCGGTACAACTATGATCTATTCCATAATATAATATATTATAATTTCAAATATATGCTTTGGAACCTAATCTATGTATTAATAATTTATTCCCAAGTGAGGGCTGCTGGTTAAATGGTTAAAAAACCTACTCTCCCACGAGGGTCAAAAGAGTGCTTAACACTTATTTACTCTCAAAACATAATCACTGAGAGATATACACTTATCGGTGTATATATCTTTTTTTTATATAGGTGAGTTACAGGTCCCCTGACCTCACCTGGGGGACATCAGCTACCTTGCTGGGGAGAATGTCAGAATGAATCTGGGGATATACAAAGCCAGTTACTGGGAATATATAAAGCCAGTTATTGGGGATATACAAAGCCAGTTATTGGGTATATACAAAGCCAGTTACTGGGAATATATAAAGCCAGTTATTGGGGATATACAAAGCCATTATTGGGTATATAAAAAGGGCCATACTGGGAATATTTAAAGCCAGTTATTGGGGATATACAAAGCCAGTTATTGGGTATATTTAAAGCCAGTTACTGGGAATATACAAAGCCAGTTATTGGGTATATACAAAGCCAGTTATTGAGGATATACAAAGCCAGTTATTGGGTATATACAAACCCTTTTGGGTAATACAGAGCCAGTTATTGGGATAACACAGCCAGTTATTGGTATATACAAAGCCGGGAAATGGGAAATATACAAAGCCAGTTTTTTGGGTATATACAAAGCCAGTTATTGGATATACAAAAGGCCGTTATGAGAATATACAAAGCCAGTTACTAGGGATATACAAACCATTTACTGGGGAAAATACAAAGCTCATTATGGGAATATACAAAGCAGTTACTGGGGATATCCCAACCAGTTACTGAGAAATATACAAAGCCATTATTGGGTATATACAAAGCCAGTTATTGGGTATATACAAAGCCAGTTACTGAGAATATACAAAGCCAGTTACTGGGGATATACAAAGCCAGTTACTGGGGATATACAAAGCCAGTTACTGAGAATATACAAAGCCAGTTATGGGGATATACAAAGCCAGTTATTGGGGATATACAAAGCCAGTTATTGGGTATATACAAAGCCAGTTATGGGATATACAAAGCCAGTTATTGGGTATATACAAAGCCAGTTATTGGGGATATAAAAAAGCCATTATTGGGTAAAATACAAAGCCAGTTACTGGGAATATACAAAGCCAGTTATTGGGTATATACAAAGCCAGTTACTGGGAATATACAAAGCCAGTTTTTGGGGATATACAAAGCCAGTTATTAAGGATATACAAAGCCAGTTATTTGGCATATACAAAGCCAGTTACTGGGAATATACAAAGCCAGTTACTGGGGATATACAAAGCCAGTTATTGGGGATATACAAAGCCAGTTATTGGGTATATACAAAGCCAGTTACTGGGAATATACAAAGCCAGTTATTGGGGATATACAAAACCAGTTACTGGGAATATACAAAGCCAGTTATTGGGGATATACAAAGCCAGTTATTGGGGATATACAAAGCCAGTTACTTGATAAAGGAAAGACTTACTTAACAGAATAAGCTTTAATTATCCCAATAAAATTCAACAAAAACGTGTCTACAGTGCGCCATAATGATGATCAGAAACAACTTAAATCCAATAACACAATTACAAACAAACCACAGAACGGACAGGGTTGAAACCCGCGGCAGGTTCGATTTCCCGTCCGTTCTGTGATTTTTCTATGACTTGTTGTCATGTCTTCGAACACAATCATCTCCCAAAGTGGTCTTTGTACAATTTTCAACAATTTCGACTATTTTTCACCGACAGCCATACTGTCTACACTCCAGCTGACATGATTCATGGCTCGGGGGTTCACTTGCTCAAGGAGAAGTGTGGAGTGAGGCATGGCTAAGGAATGTTTGCTGTGTGAAAGGGATAACGTATGCTGTGGCTAATGTCTGCCTGTCTCCCACTACGAATTTCGGGCATATTGCTCATGTAAGTAATGCTTTATTTTGCTTTCCTCCGACGGTCTCCGCTCTATTTTGATTTGAGGAAGTTGGTCTCCTCTTCTGATGGTTTCTATCCATCGTCTTCCTGTTTTGTCTTCAGGAAGTTGGCCGTTTCTTCTTTTGGTCTCCATCTATCATCTTCCTTCTTTGTCTTCGGGAAGCTGATCTCCTCTTCCTACGGTCTCAATCTATCGCCTTTAGGAAATTGGTCTCCTTTTCCTACGGTCTCTGTTCCTCAGTCTCCTCTTTTGTCTTCAGAAACTTGGTCTCCTCTCTCGACGGTCTCTGACCCTCAACCTCCTCGTCCTCCTGGTAGTTCCAAGGTTGGATCTTCGTGGTGCCGAAGACCACAAACACCATCCAGGAGGTGATATACATGACAGCCGTCAGCCAGAATACAGACTGCCACTCCTTCAGACTCTGACGAAGGTAAATAAGTTAAGTAAGTTTATTTAGGCACAGGTACACATAAGTATAATTATCAAACATAGTATACATTACCCAGCATAATCCAAACAACTCAAGGTGACTTATTTTCATACATAAGGGTTTGGTGATGGCTAATAAATGTTCATGATGGTGTATATAAATACGTCTCAGTAACAAAGATTGTTATAATGTAAATACGATGTGCATGGTGCCATGGAGGACATAAATAAAGTGTATATGAAACTATGACTTAGGTAAATAAAAATACATATATAGAGGAATTGAGGTGTTTTGAAGTTCTGAAAGGGATAAATAAGACGTGCATGAATCTCTAAAAGGAAGTAAATAAGACGTGTATGAATCTCTAAAAGGAAGTAAATAAGACGTGTATGAATCCTAAAGGAAGTAAATAAGACGTGTATGAATCCCCTAAAAGGAAGTAAATAAGACGTGTATAATCTCTAAAAAGGAAGTAAATAAGACGTGTATGAATCTCTAAAAGGAAGTAAATAAGACGTGTATGAATCTCTAAAAGGAAGTAAATAAGACGTGTATGAATCTCTAAAAGGAAGTAAATAAGACGTGTATGAATCTCTAAAAGGAAGTAAATAAGACGTGTATGAAGGTCTATAAGAGGTCAACAAGACATGTATAAACCTCTGAAAGAGATAGAATCTACTCACTTGGTTGGGAGTCATGGCACCCACAATCACAGGTACACACATTGATACCATGTAAGCCAGGGTGTTGCTCAGACCCAGCAGAGTACCTGAAGGTATGATGAGCATTAGGAAATGGTATTGGTGATACCTGCAAGGTGTGGAAGGAGTGATAATACAATTACAAACAAACCACGGAACGAGTGTGGGTTAAACTTGCGGCAAGTGAATCGTAAAGCTCCAGACCAGTGCGTTAACTACTGGGCCAGCTGGCTACAATAAGATTCATGGGAAGGTTAGCATGGACCACCACTGTGACCAGGAGTGGATCTACTGAAACTAATGAAGCTTAAGCTTTAGGGCCCCTAACCCCGGAGGGGTCCAAGAAGCGACTTTAGTCCACATGGATTAAAAATTTTGGGGCTACATGAAGGGGTTGCGAAGGGCCCCCCATAACAGTTCAGGCTTCATGGCCCCAAAAATGCAGGTCCCCCACTGACTGTGACCACAAATGCAAGTGTTTACAGATGACTCTTATCATAGCTAGCTGGCCTAATGAGTCACCCACTGACCCGCAGTGTTACGGCTCACTCGCCGTGAGTTCGAACCCTATCCGTCCCGTGGCTTGCCTTAAGAGACACTTATGTACAGATCAGGACACTGATTACAGGCAACGTTTCGCCACCAATGGCTTCTTCAATCCTCGGGGCGAAACGTTTCCTCTCATAAATGTTCTGACCTGTACAAAATTTTTCCCTACACGTTCAACAAAATTTGACAAACAAAAGTCAAAACAAGACAACGGTGCAAAACGTCGTCGGAGCGAAACGTAGCCAAGTTTCCATTCTAATTTGTGATTTACTCGTGAATAAACACGTGAAACTTGTCTCTAGAGTTAAAAATTCAGCAGCAGGAACCCACCTGCAACATTGGGGGCAAGGTCGAGATGGTTAGCCAGGTGGCCCGAGCAGATGGCTCCACTGAAGGCAGTGCCAATGGGGAAGAGTGCACTGCCAGCGTGGTGTTGCACCCCACGTAACCCACCACCACCAGCACCACACCAGGCACCACCAGCGCTGTCACCACACACACCACAGTTAAGATAAACATCTTGGTAACGCATCCTGACGTCCTAAGATGTCAGCCCTATTAATGAAGCTGACAGATGGTATTAACCTAATTAATTTACTGACTAACTGTCTACATATACACGTGAGGAAATGCTACCATATATTTATTAGAGAACATTACGGTCCTGGTACCTAGATCAAGGTCCCAGGACCGGAATGATCCATATACCCCCGGGCCCGGGGAAGGGTCCAAAACCCAGACCATATGGACGCAAGGCGTAAGTGAGAACTCCTTACTGAATGCCACAATGAAAAAATTTTTTAAAAGTGATACAGGGAAAGCCATGGAAGGCCTCAGCAATGACCAAAACCCATGGCGGGCCATTATTAATAATTAAAAATAAAAAATAATAAAAATAATAAAATAATAAAATAAAATAAAATAATAATAAAACCCAAAAGCTGACATCAATGACATACGGTATAAGAAAGTCCCTTGTTTGCAGAACTTTCAAGAAAATTTAGGCAATTTGTGGCGGGGCGCCCCCACACCATCCACAACCCCCAGGTATTTCTTTTACTGCTGGGTGACAGAACGATCGGTTTCCGGGTTTTTAAGGATCCCCGGGTAGTTCCCCTGGCTGGGGGGACCGTTGGGGAGCATCCAGCTCAACCTGTGTTTTGCATGCATTCCCTGCGGGGCGGCCCTAATTTTTGGTACCCTGAACGAACGTTGGGGGGGCCCATTCGAAACCCTTTCTCATACAGTTGACCCTTTTTTTTAAGCAAGAGGAGTAAAGTGGCTTTGGGGCCCCTCCGGTTTGGGCCCTAATTTAAAGGGTTATTAGTCTCATAAACCGTCCGTCCGTGCGTAATTTCAGTGTTATATCACTTTTCCTTTTTTTCTTCGAAGGGAAAAAAAGTCATACTTTTTTTTTTTTAATATTCCGACCGTCTACCACTAGGCGGGAGGACTCGACAGAAAAAAACACTTTCACCATCATTCACGCCATCACTATCTTGCCAAGGGGTGCTGATACTATAGTTCAAAACACAAATATCCCCATCCTTCTTCAAATGCAGGCCTTACGTTCCACCCCGCCTCAAGTCCCTAACGGTTTCCCTAAATTCCCTTAAAAATGTTACCTTTTACACCCCAACACACGTGAATCATCAAAACCACTTGCCTCACCACTCCCAACCTTTTAATACCTATTTCTGTATATTTTATATTAAATATATATATTAATATAAATATATATATAATATATATATATTTATATATATATATATATATATATATATATTAAAAGCAAAAAACCATTCCTTGTTTACAAATTTCCCCTTTTGAGATTTATTAATTTTCTTATCTGAAGAACTCGTTAATATGATTTACCATTGCCAGTTCCTACTATCATTAAGCTTATTAAACTTTGCATTTTTTATGAAAAATTTGTATTTAATGATAATTTTACACTCAAAAGGTTTTGGTATGCAATGGGAAACCCTTTTCACCTGTTCTTAGTAACCTATACAAGGAATTTTTTGAAACAAATTGCTTAACACAATCCCCCTAATAGAGCAAAAGGGTTCAGATTTTTGATGAATTTTTGTCTTATGCCCAAAAAAATGTAGATATACCCCCATTTCCTTGGGAAAATTAAATAGCTTAGCCCATTCTATAAACTTTACTGTTGATTTTTGAAGAAAAAAAAACTCATTGCCTTTTCTAATGTTTTAATTATTAAGGGTAATAATGAATTCAAAAAAAAAATTTACAGAAAACCTACAAAAACTGTTCCTATTCCACTTTTTACCCTCCATCAAGATAAGTCAAAATGCGTTTTCCCTCTCAATGTTTTTGGGGCTTTACAAATTTGTATCCTTTCAAGAAGGAAAATTTCCTAATTTATAAAATAGCCATTGATCTGAAATACCCGAAAAAGAAATTATAAATCATTAAAATTTTCTAAAATACTTTTTTACAATCCAAAAAGGGACAACCACCTTATTAACTAAAAATATTTGGTCCCCTTACCTGAAAACTTTGTTGATATCCCCTTCTTTTCTTAAACTTTTAATATAAAGTTGTATTCAAAAATCTTGATACAGAAAAAAAAAACTTTTATAAAAAATTTCCCCCAAAATGCTGATGGATGTGTTATAAGTTTCCCTTGAAAAAATTTTCCGATAAAGTTTTTTACGGTCCAACGGTAAAAATCTCGAATGTTAAAAAACAACATAAATATATCTTTTAAACTAACAAGTTTCCCAATGCTCAATTTATTCATGTAAGAATTTTTAAAACCACCCAATTGATTTTCAAAAGTTGAGAAAGTAGTATCAAGCAAGTCCATGGTCCAGGAATATAATTGAACTTTTTCAAAAAAAAACATAATATAATATTTCCCTTTTGGTTTATATAAATTTGACTCATTTATAATTAAAAAAATTTTGGGTTGATTTAATAATACTTGCAAATAAAAAACTTTTTCTTTTTTAGAATATTTTGTTAGTGGGGGGTCGGAGGACCCCGTCTAGTTTGGACCAGCGGACCTACTGCAGTGTTCCTCTTTTCTTAGGAGTCCGGGATTTTCCCCGCGTCAGGGGTTTTTTTTGTTTTTGGGGTTGACTGTGAGGTGTGGTCTAAGCCCTTTTAATTTCCCTTCCCTTTTATTATTACTTTCATAGTTTTCCTTTCAATGTGAGTAGTCACGAAAGGGCTTGGAATTTCACTACTCTTTCACATGGTTTTTTTGATATTTTAAAATCACCTTTTACTGTGACTTATTGCAAAAATAAATATATATAATATATTATTTTATATATATATTAAATATATATATATTATATATTATATATAATTATATATATGTAATATATATTATATTTTATTTATATATATATAATATATTATATATATATAATAATGTGTGTGTGTGGTTTTGGGGGTTGTGTTTGTGTGTGTGTGTGGTGTGTGTGTGTGGTGTGTGTGTCGTGCCCAATAGGGAGAACTTGCGATCTTTGGTTAAATAGCAACGCCCTCTTGCCTATAGGACAAGTGAAAAAATTTTTTATCAATAATTTGCCAAAATCATTCTGAACCAAAAGAAAAAAATTATTTTATTTGTTTGTTTAACTAAATTTTTGTAAAAGTATTTAAAAAAAATTTAGGGGTTAGGCCTAAAAAATTGCTCTTGTTTTTTAAAAAGGTTTGGGGAAGTTTTCTAAGATTCTTTGGGCCAAATATAAATTTTTACTTAACATTAATTAAAAAAATATACTTTAAACGATAAGAGAAAATTTTTGAAAGGACTTAATTTTTAAAAAAATTTTGCTAATTTAGCATTCATATTTGCACGACATATATATATATAATAATATATATATAATATATAAAATTTTATATAAAAATATATATATAATATATATATATACACACAAGATGACATTACAACACTATGCGAAAGCTTCCTGGGGGTGTTTAGAGAGAGGTAATGTCGGTGAGGAGCCAGTCACCAATCACCCCCCACACTAACTCCCCCGAACTTTGGGCTGAACGGCAGGGGCCCACAACAACCGTTCTTTGGATGAACGAGTGGAAAAATTTTGCACAATGAATGATAGGCTGTTCTTCAGAGTGAACAAGTGGGGGATTTAAACAAGAAAAAGGGCCCTTCTGCTGCTTGCTTGGTTAATTGGGTTTAAATACTACACTGAGCTGCCCCTCAAAGTATGTACATGAAAGCTGCCCCCAAAAGGTAAAAACACTACAGCTGCCTCTCAAGAGTATGTACACGATACGCCCTCTCAAGATTGTAACTGTAGCTGCCTCTCAAGAGAAAAAACAGTGATAGTTACCTCTCAAATAATTTCATGTAGTGCCCCCTAAAGAAATACATGATAGCTCCCCTCAAGATATATAAAAACCCACTCGTGTACAGGGACTTGTAGCCGTAATGACCTTTTTGTAGCAGAAAAGCTTTAAAAAACCCCTTAACAGGCAACAGTACATATGTTCGCCTGGAAGGGTGGGGGAAGGGACAAAACCAGAGCTCACCGTCTTGATTGAAAAGCCCAGGACACTGCTCATGTAGGTGGGCAGTTGTGTTAGTAGCAGGTTGAAGCCGAACATACTGCCTATGTGGGCGATGTGGGTAGCCCAGAGTGGACCACTCTTCAAGATACTCCTCCATGGGATCTTCATCGCCTGCGGCAGGAGGAGGAAGAACGTAAGAAGGAGCACTGCAGCAGGACTGCTGGCCCATGAGAAATGGTATGATGATATTTACAAGACGTGGAAAAAGACTTATGTACAGTTTAGGGCATTTATTAGAGGAAACATTTCGCCCGCCCCGAGTGACTTCTTCAGTCTTAATACAGAGATAAAACTGAGTCGTCAAGGACTGTGTTCGTCACTGGTCATAATCCCAGGTTGACATGTCTGAGGATCTCCAAGAGATGTCGATCTTATCCAGTTGTTCTGTACCCGCAATCAGGGTCTTGCTATAGCTCCTATAAGTAGTAGTAGCAGTAGTAGTAGTAGCAGTAGTAGCAGTAGTAGCAGTAGCAGCAGCAGCAGCAGCAGCAGCAGCAGCAGCAGCAGCAGCAGCAGCAGCAGCAGCAGCAGCAGCAGCAGCAGCAGCAGTAGTAGTAGTAGCAGCAGTACAACAATTGTGGTGAGATGGGTTTCAGAACGACCCGTAATCCTCAAACCCAACCCATCTCGCCACACTTCTACTATTATTACTACTTCTACTACTACTACTACTACTACTACTACTACTACTATTACTACTACTACTACTACTACCCACGCCACCTCCCACCTAACTACTGGCACTATGTATACTTGTTTCTTAGTTACCTCTGTATTAAGACTGAAGAAGACTCTCGTGGTGAACCGTTTCCTTGAATATGTGACCTCAACTATACATGTCTTTTTCCACATCTGCCCTCCTGTCATCTCTCCTGCCCTCCTGTCATCTCTCCTGCCCTCCTTTTCATCTCTCCTGCCCTCCTGTCATCTCTCCTGCCCTCCTGTCATCTCTCCTGCCCTCCTGTCATCTCCCTGCCCCCTGTCATCTCTCCTGCCCTCCTGTCATCTCTCCTGCCCTCCTGTCATCTCTACTGCCCTCCTGTCATCTCTCCTCCCCTCCTGTCATCTCTCCTGCCCCCTCCTGTCATCTCTACTGCCCTCCTGTCATCTCTCCTGCCCTCCTGTCATCTCTCCTGCCCCCCCTGTCATCTCTCCTGCCCTCCTGTCATCTCTCCTGCCCTCCTGTCATCTCTCCTGCCCTCCTGTCATCTCTCCTGCCCTCCTGTCATCTCTCCTGCCCTCCTGTCATCTCCCCTTTCCCCTCCTGTCATCTCTCCTGCCCTCCTGTCATCTCTCCTGCCCTCCTGTCATCTCTCCTCCCTCCTGTCATCTCCCCTGCCCTCCTGTCTCTCTCTCCTGCCCTCCCTGTCATCTTTTCCTTTGCCCTCCGTCATCTCTCCTGCCCTCCTGTCATCTCTCCTGCCCTCCTATCATCTCTCCTGCCCTCCTGTCACCCTCTCCTGCCCTCCTGTCATCTCTCCTGCCTCCTGTCATCTCCCCTGCCCTCCTATCATCTCTCCTGCCCTCCTGTCATCTCTCCTGCCCTCCTGTCATCCTCCTGCCCTCCTGTCCATCTCTCCTGCCCTCCTGTCATCTCTCCTGCCCTCCTGTCATCTCTCCTGCCCTCCTGTCATCTCTCCTGCCCTCCTGTCATCTCTCCTGCCCTCCTGTCATCTCTCCTGCCCTCCTGTCATCTCTCCTGCCCCCCCTGTCATCTCTCCTGCCTTCCTGTCATCTCCCCTGCCCTCCTGTCATCTCTCCTCCCCTCCTCTCATCTCTCCTGCCCTCCTGTCATCTCTCCTGCCCTACTCTCAATCTCTCCTGCCTCCTGTCATTTCTCCTGCCCCCCCTGTCATCTCTCCTGCCCTTCTGTCATCTCTCCTGCCCTCCTGTCTTCTCTCCTGCCCTCCTTTCATCTCTCCTGCCCTCCTCTCATCTCTCCTGCCCTCCTGTCATCTCTCCTGCCCTCCTCTCATTTCTCCTGCCCTCCTTTCATCTCCCCTGCCATCCTGTCATCTCTCCTGCCCTCCTTTCATCTCTCCTGCCCCCTCTCATCTCTCCTGCCCTCCTTTCATCTCTCCTGCCCTCCTCTCATCTCTTTTGTCCTCCTTTCATCTCTCCTGCCCTCCTTTCATCTCTCCTGCCCTCCTGTCATCTCTCCTGCCCTCCTCCATCTCTCCTGCCCTCCTTTAATCTTTCCTGCCCTCCTCTCATCTCTTTTGTCCTCCTTTCATCTCCTCCTGCCCTCTTTTCATCTCTCCTCCCCCTCCTCTCATCTCTCCTGCCCTCCTTTCATCTCTCCTGCCCTCCTTTCATCTTCTCCTGCCCTCCTGTCTTTTCTCCTGCCCTCCTCTCATCTCTCCTGCCCTCCTTTCATCTCTCCTGCCCTCCTGTCATTTCTCCTACCCTCCTATCATCCTCCTGCCCCTCTTTCATCCTGTTCTTTCCCTCTTTTCAGTCTATTCTACCTTTCTTCGCCCTACTTTGCCCCTTCCTTCACCCTGTGTCACCCCTCTCTCACCCTTCGACACCCCTCTCTCAACCTGCGCCACTTTCTCCCTCACCCTGCGTCACCATCTCTCTTACCTGCGTCACCTTTTTCCTTCACCCTTTCGTCACCCGTCTCTCACCCTGCGTATCCCCTCTCTCACCCTGCGTCACTCCCCTCTCCAACCTGCGCCACTTTCTCCCTCCCCCTTCCCCGTCCCCCTCCCCACCCCCGCCGCCCTGCCTCCACCCTCCGCCGCCCCTGCCTCACCTTGTGCTGGGTGGTGCCTTCCTTGATGGAGTTAAGGATGTAGTCTCTCTCGTGGGCGGTGATGGAAGGGTGTTGGAGAGGGGTGTCGTGCATGAGCCACGCCCACAACACCACCCACGCCAGGGATACACCCCCAGTCACGTAGAACACCTCCGCCCACCCCGCCCATGCGATGATCACCCCACACAGTGGCATGGTGATGATGGTGCCCAGGGTGTTAGCTGTTACAGTGACGGATGATTAGAAGATATGGTTTATTAGGGTAATACACCATACACAGTACCGTGTACTGGAACAATACACAAGTACATTGATGATTAAGACATATGTGCATCAGTTAGGTCTCTTTACTGGAGAAACGTTTCGTCTGTACACTAGGTTTCTTCAGTCAAATACGGAGAGAACAGTAGCAGTATTGAAATAAATATGTAATCAGTCCATCAATCTTGGAGAATTAGTATTTGAGGTGGTCAGTCCCTCAGCCTGGAGAAGAGTTCAGCTCCACGGTCTGGAACGATATCTTTCCAGACCATGGAGATGAACTCTTCTCCAGGCTGAGGGACTGACCACCTCTAATACTATTTCTCCAAGGCTGATGGACTGATTACATCACCTTCATTTCGCTACTCCTCCTGCTGACTCTACAACTGACCGATAAAGCCCATGTTGCCTGTAGTCAATTATATTTCCACTGGAATGCATGTGTACACAGGCGTACATGAAGACAGCCGTTCACTAGAATACATACAGACACATATGTACACACACGTATATGTAAAACACCCACGGGGGGAGTTGAATGATAGCTCCAGGCCTTTCGTATTGCAATTAACACATCGTCAAGAACTTGCAATGTTGCAGTAAAGAGGATAGCATTCCCTATGATCGTATTTGCTTGGCCCTCCTCCTTACTGCAACATTGCAAGCTCCTGATGAAGTCCTTATTGCAGCATGAAAGGCCTAGAGTTATCATTCAACTCCCCCCGTAGTTGTTTTGCATCTTGTAATGCATGTTTGCGATATTTGCATAACACGTGAATATACTTACACATATAAGTGAAGGACATGAAGCGAGGCCGCTCAAGGGGCGGGACCCACTTGGATACCATTACGTTCATGGCAGGGTAGACCACACCCTGCAAGATACCCACATCTCGTAAGATACCCACATCTTGTAAGATACCCACATCTTGTAAGATACCCACATCTTATAAGATACCCACACCTTGTAAGATACACACAGCTTGTAAGATACCCATATCTTGTAAGATACCAACATCTTGTAAGATACCCACATCTTGCAAGATACCCACACCTTGTAAGATACCCACACCTTGTAAGATACTCACATCTTGTAAGATACCCACAACTTGTAAGATACCCACATCTTGTAAGATACCCACACCTTGTAAGATACCCACACCTTGTAAGATACCCACACCCTGTAAGATACCTACACCTTCTAAGATAACCAAACCCTGTAAGATACCCACACCCTGTAAGATACCCACACCATGTAAGATACCCACACCCTGTAAGATACCCACACCCTGTAAGATACCCACACCTTGTAAGATACCCACACCCTGTAAGATACCCACACCTTGAAAGATACCCATACCTTGTAAGATACCCACACCTTGTAAGATACCCACACCTTGTAAGCTACCCACACGCTGTAAAATACCCACACCCTGTAAGATACCCACACCTTGTAAGATACCCACACCATGTAAGATACCCACACATTGAAAGATACCCACACGTTGTAATATACCCACACCCTGTAAGATACCCACACCTTGTTAGATAACAACACCTTGTAAGATACCCTCAAATTGTATGATACCCACACCTTATAAGGTACCCACACCCTGTAAGATACCCACACCTTGTAAGATACCCACACGCTGCAAAACACCCACACCCTGTAAGATACCCACACCCTGTAAGATACCAACACCCTGTAAGATACCCATACCTTGTAAGATACCAACACCTTGTAAGATACCCACACCTTGAAAGATACCCACACCCTGTAAGATACCCACACACTGTAAGATACCCACACCCTGTAAGATACCCACACCCTATATGACACCCACACCCTGTAAGATACCCACACCCTATAAGATACCTACACCCTGTAAGATACTCACACCCTGTAAGATACCCACACCCTGTAAGATAACAACACCCTGTAAGATACTCACACCATACCTTGTAAGATACCAAAACCTTGTAAGATACCCACACCCTGTAAGATACCCACACCCTGTAAGATACCCACACCCTGTAAGATACCTACACCCTGTAAGATACTCACACCCTGTAAGATACCCACACCCTGTAAGATACCAACACCCTGTAAGATACCCACACCTTGTAAGATACCCACACCCTGTAAGATACCCACACCTTGAAAGATACCCACACCTTCTAAGATACCCACACCTTGTAAGATACCCACACCCTGTAAGATACCCACACCTTGTAAGATACCCACACCTTGTAAGATACTCACATCTTGTAAGATACCCACAACTTGTAAGATACCCACATCTTGTAAGATACCCACACCTTGTAAGATACCCACACCTTGTAAGATACCCACACCCTGTAAGATACCTACACCTTCTAAGTTAACCAAACCCTATAAGATACCCACACCCTGTAAGATACTCACACCATGTAAGATACCCACACCCTGTAAGATACCCACACACTGTAAGATACCCACACCTTGCAAGATACCCACACCCTGTAAGATACCCACACCTTGAAAGATACCCATACCTTGTAAGATACCCACACCTTGTAAGATACCCACACCTTGTAAGATACCCACACCTTGTAAGCTACCCACACGCTGTAAAATACCCACACCCTGTAAGATACCCACACCTTGTAAGATACCCACACCCTGTAAGATACCCACACATTGAAAGATACCCACACGTTGTAATATACCCACACCCTGTAAGATACCCACACCTTGTTAGATAACAACACCTTGTAAGATACCCACAAATTGTATGATACCCACACCTTATAAGGTACCCACACCCTGTAAGATACCCACACCTTGTAAGATACCCACACGCTGCAAAACACCCACACCCTGTAAGATACCCACACCCTGTAAGATACCCACACCCTGTAAGATACCAACACCCTGTAAGATACCCATACCTTGTAAGATACCAACACCTTGTAAGATACCCACACCTTGAAAGATACCCACACCCTGTAAGATACCCACACACTGTAAGATACCCACACCCTGTAAGATACCCACACCCTGTATGACACCCACACCCTGTAAGATACCCACACCCTATAAGATACCCACACCTTGAAAGATACCCATACATTGTAAGATACCAAAACCTTGTAAGATACCCACACCCTGTAAGATACCCACACCCTGTAAGATACCCACACCCTGTAAGATACCTACACCCTGTAAGATACTCACACCCTGTAAGATACCTACACCCTGTAAGATACCAACACCCTGTAAGATACCCACACCTTGTAAGATACCCACACCCTGTAAGATACCCACACCTTGAAAGATACCCACACCTTCTAAGATACCCACACCTTGTAAGATACCCACACCCTGTAAGATACCCACACCTTGTAAGATACCCCACACCCTGGGAAAGATACCCACACCCGTAAGATACCCACACCCTGTAAGATACCCACACCTTGTAAGATGCCCACACCTTGTAAGATACCCGCACCCTGTAAGATACCCACACCCTGTAAGATACCCACACCTTGTAAGATACCCACACCCTGTAAGATACCCACACCTTGTAAGATACACACACCCTGTAAGATACCCACACCCTGTAAGATACCCACACCCTGTAAGATACCCACGCCCTGTAAGATACCCACACCTTGTAAGATACCCACACCCTGTAAGATAACCCACAAACCCCGTAAGATGCCCACACCCTGTAAGATACCCCACCATGTAAGATACCCACACCATGTAAGATACCCACACCTTGTTAGATAACAACACCTTGTAAGATACCCACAAATTGTATGATACCCACACCTTATAAGGTACCCACAAACCCTGTAAGATACCCACACCTTGTAAGATACCCACACGCTGCAAAACACCCACACCCTGTAAGATACCCACACCCTGTAAAATACCCACACCCTGTAAAATACCACACCCTGTAAGATACCCATAAATTGTAAGATACCAAACACTTGTAAATACCCACACCTTGAAAGATACCCACACCCTTAAGATACCCACACACTGTAAGATACCCACACCCTGTAAGATACCCACACCCTGTATGACACCCACACCCTGTAAATACCCACACCCTATAAGATACCCACACCTTGAAAGATACCCATACATTGTAAAATACCAAAAACCTTGTAAGATACCCACACCCTGTAAGATACCCACACCCTGTAAGATACCCACACCCTGTAAGATACCTACACCATGTAAGATACTCCCCACCCTGTAAGATACCCACACCCTGTAAATACCAACACCCTGTAAGATACCCACACCTTGTAAGATACCCACAACCCCGTAAGATACCCCCACCTTGAAAGTACCCACACCTTCTAAGATACCCACACCTTGTAAGATACCCACACCCTGTAAGATACCCACACCTTGTAAGATACCCACACCCTGTAAGACACGCACACCCTGTAAGATACCCACACCCTGTAAGATACCCACACCCTGTAAGATACCCACACCTTGTAAGAGCCCACAACCTTGTAAGATACCCACACCCTGTAAGAAACCCACACCCGTAAGATACCCCACCTTGTAAGATACCCACACCTGTAAAAATACCCCACACCTTGTAAATCACACACCCTTTTAAGATACCCCACACCCTGTAAGATACCCACACCCTGTAAGATACCCACGCCCTGTAAGATACCCACACCTTGTAAGATACCCACACCCTGTAAGATACCCACACCCTGTAAGATGCCCACACCCTGTAAGATACCCACACCATGTAAGATACCCACACCATGTAAGATACCCACACCCTGTAAGATACCCACACCCTGTAAGATACCCACACCCTGTAAGATACCCAAAACATGTAAGAAACCCACACCCTGTAAGATACCCACACCCTGTAAGATACCAACACCCTGTAAGATACCCACACCCTGTAAGATACCCACACCTTGTAAGATACCCACACCATGTAAGATTCCCACACCTTGTAAGATACCCACACCCTGTAAGATTCCCAAACCTTGTAAGATACCCACACCCTGTAAGATTCCCACACCTTGTAAGATACCCACACCCTGTAAGATTCCCCAAAACCCGTAAGATACCCACACCTGTAAGTTCCCACACCTTGTAAGATACCCACACCCTGTAAGATTCCCAAACTTGTAAGATACCCACACCCTGTAAGATTCCACACCTTGTAAGATACCCACACCCTGTAAGATTCCCACACCTTGTAAGATACCCACACCCTGTAAGATACCCACACTTGTAAGATACCCACACCCTGTAAGATACCCACACCTTGTAAGATACCCACACCCTGTAAGATACCCACACCTTGTAAGATACCCACACCCTGTAAGACACGCACACCCTGTAAGATACCCACACCCTGTAAGATACCCACATCCTGTGAGATTCCCAAACCTTGTAAGATACCCACACCCTGTAAGATTCCCACACCTTGTAAGATACCCACACCCTGTAAGATTCCCAAACCTTGTAAGATACCCACACCCTGTAAGATACCCACACCTTGTAAGATACCCACACCCTGTAAGACACGCACACCCTGTAAGATACCCTCACCCTGTAAGATTCCCACACCTTGTAAGATACCCACACCCTGTAAGATTCCCAAACCCTTGAAAGAAACCCACACCCTGAAAGATACCCACCCCTTTTTAAAGTTTCCCCAAACTACCCTGAAAAAAACCACACCCGTAAGAAAAACCCACCCCTGTAAAAATGCCCACACCCTTTTTACCCATGGGAAACCCCCAGATTTACCCAGTGGGAGACCCAGAGTTACCCCATTAGGGGGCCCAATTTTACCCTTTAAGGGAGGCCCAATTTACCCAGTAGGAGACC